TTCCACCAGAAGCACTGAGAACAGACGCAGAGACAACAGCGGACGTGCTCACACCACTATTCTAGAAGGTTTGGAAGGAAGGGAGGCAGGAAGGTTACCTTCCGACTAGAAGAAGGGCTATTTTGTCAGACTTCCAAAAAGAAGAGCGAACTAAGTCTTTGCAAGAACTGGCGCTTAATCATGCTCCCTCCCTGTCCACCCCCAGACAAAATATTATGCCGCATCATCCTGGAGAGATTGAAACATACTCTGGATTCAAAAATACAACTGAAACAGGTTGGTTGGCTTGAGGAAGAGCAAATCATGTACGGATCAAATTGCAACGCAAATCTACGCATCATCATAGAATAGAGCCTGGAACAACAGAATGGCAACATTCTACCTCAACTTCATCGATTTTGAAAAGGCCTTCGACAGCGTTGACCGAGAAGTAATTTGTCAGCAAACTGCTTCAACACTGCCGAGTACCACAAACCCTTACCAACCTCATTCCACAGCAGCTATATGCAATATGATGAAGCTACATGCCAAGTGATTCACAATGGAAAGCTCAGTGATGCTTTTGAATTGAAGTGAAGACAGAAGTGAGACAAGGTTGCCGTCCACTATCATCACTGATGATCTTCCTGATTGTGGTCGACTCGACTGGGCTGGATCATGCAGCCAACAGCAACAGTGAGGAGCGAGAAGTTGTGCATACGCTGGCTGGACCGATGAAAAGACCTCAGAAGACGATTCGGATTTCGCCGATGATGATCTATGTCTAGTGTCTTATGTCGCACAAACTCGACGATCTACGGGTAAAAACCAACAAGTTGACAGAGGAGGCAGGGCAGCGAAGACAGGACTTCCTCCTGGTGGACGTAGAGAAGACAGAGGTGATGAAGATACCCAACCAACAACAGCATTAACAACAAGCACCAATCACCATCAATGGGAGAAATCTAAACGAAGTAGTCTCCCTCACCTACCTATTTAGCATTGTTTCAACTACAGGCAACGGTGGCACAAATGAGGACGTTAAAGCCAGGATCGGAAAAGCAAGACAGGTTTTCACAAATCTGCAATCGGTGTGGAGATCTACTGTACTCCATCCAGGATAAAGAACAAGATCTGGATTTTCAATACCAATGTCAGTCAAGTCAGTACTTCCATGTGATGGTTGGGAGACTTGACGTGTACGAAAAGCATTTCCAACAAACTACAGACATTCATCACATCAACAGTTGCCGCCTACGCTCACTCGATACTGAAGATCAGATGGCCAGAATAATAAGAATATGCAACTAGGAACTCTGGCTGACTGGGTGGCTGGCAACGAACCAACGAAGCAAGAACCCATTGCCCAACAAACATGCAGAGGAAGAAAGTGGAGATGGATTGTATTGGGTATACACTGAGAAGACCATTTGGAGACATCACGCACCAGTCCAGGCTGTCAATTGGAAGCCGAATGGGAAACGTTGAATTGGGCGTCCGAGGTGAGGGTGACATGGAGGAGATGGTGTGAGAAAGAAATGCAAGTTTGTGGGTGGTCGTGGAGCGAGGTTTAAAAGACTGCAGAGGAGAGAGTTTAATGGAGACATGCTACTGAAGCCCTATGTTCCACTGGGAACCCAAGAAACAAATAATAGTAATAATAATAACAATAGTAATAGTGATATAATCGTTGGGCCTCACACAGTTTGGTTGATTGCTTGGTGCATAAGCATGCACGTGGGGGTACCGAACCCAACTACCTGTATGTGTGAAAACTTTAGTTCCATCCGTTATGACTTGTTTGTATCATGATTGTTTTATTCTATATACTTCTATGTTTTCTATTTGCTTGTTATTTTTGATTATATTGTCGCATTAAATAATATAGGAAAAGTAAGTGAATAACCAAATGCTTTTGCATGTTAATGTGGATAGTCTTTTCCGGACTGAATAATTTTTTGAATCGAATTGTGTTACGGAGATATATTGTTGTATCTTCAGGTAGTCAGATCAGAACGCGATCATGCATTACTACTTAACGGTCCAAGTTGCCTCACTTCAAATCAGCGAATCAAGTTACAAGATAATAAGATGCTAGACAGGGAAGTGAAAATGAAATCAAAAGTTATAGAAAGCTGTAAAAGGCAGAGAAAAAGGAGTTATATATATATATTCACCTCAATATGTTCGCTGGATTATGGTGTGATTATCGTTTGAACTCTATGAATTTATCCTATAGCTTTTCATGATCTACATGCATGTGGGCAGATGACAGGAAACTCGCGTTTCAATCGAATTTCGGTTTAGTAGTTACTTTTTACTGTCAAGTTCAGTGATTTCAATGAATAATTTATCATTGCACTGAAGTTATCGCTGATTGGATGAGGATTAAGTCCGGAGATTTAACAGGAAATACATTCAAATAAGGTGGAGAGCAGAAAACTCTTAAAGAAATCCGATCTAGAGAGAATTGTCTTTGATGGAGGATGAACCACATTTGTTATGCATAGACACTGCACCAGAAAGGTTGAGGAGATATTCACAGGCGAACATAGAAATGAATTGACTTAGCTGAACCCTGTTCCGTTCGCCAGAACCGTAAGGAAACTTGTCAAGACTAAGGCATTTGTGAAACAGGGCTGATAGCGAGTTACATTCAGTAAACTTGTGCTAAGCTAACATTTCTCGGGACTTGCTCATACTGTCAATTGATACAGCTTTTTATAAAAATAAAACATTCGGTAGTATTTTTTGACCACTATATCGACTCTGCAATGCAGTAGTATACAGAAGGTCAGAAGGATTCAGATCGATATTCCCAAACTGATGGTTTCCTTCGATATCACAAATCTTTGCGCTTCGAATGTTGCCAATATCAATGGGAAGATGTTTAGGATGTGATTAACAGTGTTTTCGATGACATCAAAAGCATATTTTGTTTTGATTGATGGAATCAGTAAAGGCAAATTGGAGATGCATGTACATGACAAGCTAACCGATATGGATTAAATCTCCAACTGCGGTAGTAACAATTTCAACGCGGAAAAGTCAGCTGTGTGCAACTTTTCGAAAAACCCACCACACTTCAGTGTATCCATTTTATGGAGAAGTAAATGGAGCAAAGAATTTAAACCTTTCCTTTTCTTAAAACACTTAAATGTCATAGAATAAGTGGCACTGGAAATGGTATTGCATTATGAACACATAAATGATCAGGAGAGGAACGGAGAATAATTTTGATCAGAGAAGCAGTCTTAGACGATATTTTCAGAAAGGATCTAAAGTACTTCTGCTACCTTGCTCCTTCTGTACTGTTGCAAAATGCAGTGATTCAAAGTGATTCATTTCGGTACAAGATTCTGTCTTGATACGTTTCTTTGCCCTTATATCTAAACTCAAGAGGAATGAGAAAACTGCAACATAAACCCTATCGGTTTCGATTCTGATTTACTATTACAGTGCACATCAGTGGGTGTTATTTAGTTGGAGGCAATCGACAAGAATTCCTGGACGTAGGTTTCATACTTGTTGCCTGTTGTCATCAAGGTGTGCCAGCAAATTCCAGAGGACTGATGTCCCATCTAAGATTCAAAGCCGCGTTTCTCAGTGCTGCAGTTATAGGCGTTCCAGACTATTAGTCAGGGACTTCGTGGACCGGTGCTGCATCTTTGCCTGGGAACACTTATTTTTCTTTCAACTTAATCTTCGGTTAACATTCTACGTTAAAGTATGTGGTCACTGCGCATGTGCAACACGTGCCTAAGCCTCCTCAGTTGATGGAGATTCCCAACATCAACAGTAAAGTACAACTTACCGGTTCTTAAAGGGAAACGTGAACCCCACTTCTGTACCAGGTTCTATGTTGATTTCTGTATATTTTTAATGCCATAACAGTTTGGTATTTGTCCAGCATAAAGTTATTACATGCTTAGGGTGAAAATATAGGAACGGTTTCTTCTCGAGCGTGGTATTTCTTAGCTAATCTCAGGTCAAAATATTTGGGAATTCAAAGTTTTCTAAACACTTGAAACAAAGGCGTCTGTTTTTATCTTACGTTAAATGGATAGTATCGTATCATTATGTTTATCTTTACGGGCTTTCTCATTTCGTATTCTCACAATCCTTTTTTCCTATTAGTAAAATCGTGGCTCATTGGTTTAGGGTGTTAGGGTTCGAACACTGCTCCACCTACCAAGTTTTCGGCAGGTAGTATCATCAGTCCTCAGACAATAGGCGTGGCTCATTTCCTATCGCACAAATGTGCACAAGGTAGCTGAGTTTCGGTTTTATTTCCTATTATCAGTTTTATCAATTATGTTTCACTTGTTTGCCGACTAACTTTCATCGTCTTGTTTTTCAGAAGCCTAATAGTTGTGATCAATGCAGTATACTACTATGCTCTGTTGTTGTTGTCTACGTATTCATCAATGCTTCTTATCACATCTCAGTTGACTTCGATGTAAATAAAACTACCCAAATAGTTAACATTTTCCATTGGTAACCAAGTATCACAGTTTAAAGGATTGATTAACAACTACTCGAACCACTTGTCCTCTTTCATCCGTTGAAAGACTGATTGAGAAATTCTGGATTCACTTTTAGTATATATTCAGTTAGAGTGGTTTAGCAATTTTAAGAAAATGAATGTTATCCATCTTTCCCCATTCACTACCTTACTCAAATTGTAAATGGATTGAGTGTTTATTGAAGTGTTTATTAACGTGTACACAAGTGGAAAATACTCTTTCTGAAAGAGTTATAAATTAATGCGTGCGCGAAAATGATGCAGTTTTTCCAATTAAATGCCATAATTTACCATTGATCTTTGACTCGAATCCTATTAATAATGAAGTAAATATCTTTTGATTTTTGTCAATTTCATCTTAACGTTTTTATTCGTAATACAGCATTGAAACACATCTCGTAATATTGTATTCATTAACGTGAAGCAACGTGGTTTTGTATTTTTTTCTTCTCTTGCTGTGCTTCGCTAACTTCGGGGATTTTCTTCTCACCTTTAGATACCTCAGCAGTCTATTCCAAATCACCTCGTATCTAGTCAAAAACAGGATGCATTTAGTTCTCAAAGTAAAAACAATGCGGATCCATTTGCTGCTTTTACACCGTCGAATTTTTCATCGGCTCCAAACTTTACTGTTGCAAAAACAGACCTCTTCGCTAACTTCTCTCCCAAAGTCCCAGCTTCTACCAATAGTAATGTAACAACGCAGCTGTTTCCCAATGTAAATTCGACATCTAGTAGTATGTTTTCAAATTCATCCATAAATACAGCTACGAATTTATATGGTTCAAATAGTGGTGATAAGTATGCTGCACTTGCGGAACTGGACGGACTATTCAAAAGTACTGGAATAAAAACATCTAATTCGGATAGTCTAGAAAAACAGATCGATGACAACATTGTAACCAAAGCCAACATTTCCATTGTAAATGCTAGTCAGTGGGTCACCTCATTTACACCTCAGATTTCCTATCCCAACATTCCTGTTGTCGGTACACATGGATGGCCTACGAGTACACCTTTCCAAGACAATGCCCAATCACTTAATCCTTTTCTCAGTTCAGCTTCTGGTGTTCAGAATCCTGGAGTTTTAATCGATTCCCCAATCCATTTGCAAGTTATCCAGTTATGACAACACCCTCAAATGTTCACCAGTTTCCTGAACCTGTAAGTTTGGCAAATCCAGAAAGTAGAAATCCTTTCCTTTCTAATCCTCCACAATCATTCACTATGAATCCATTTTCCGGTTCAACAAACTCTACTTCCATCTCTTATCCACAGTCAGCCACAAATTCTTTCTCACCGGTTATACATCCAGTCAGTAGTTTTCCTGCAAAAATGAACAATCCTATGGTGAGTGGATTTTAACTAAACCGTAATATATCATGTTGAAGTTTTCGTGTGCTTAATATCCAGTGGATTGTTAACTTTTTTATCGAATAAGATATTTATCATGTATTTTATTTTCACGTTGGTTAGAACCGATCATCACTGTTTTCACCTCTTGCCTTAACGTGATGCACTTCAGAAGATTGTATTTCTTTATTTCTGATGGTGCACAGTGATACTGTATTATTAGTCGTGTGATATTTTGAGCATAAACTATTGCTTATAATCATATCAAGGTAGCCATACAACTTCCGACATCTGATTTTTATAGTCCTGTCACACTTCATATTCTTTTGTTTAGTGGTCGTAAAATTCTCATATATGTGGTATAGGTGTTGCGTCATTCCATCATACGTGTTAGTTGTTGATACGATGAATAAAGATTCAGTAATCAGTATCTGTTTCCAACCAAATATACTGAACTTAAGTACAGTTGCCTCACCCCACCCTATTGTTTTTGGCTGCATGAATTGCAAAAGCCGAGTTTTCTTCAAGATTGTTAATCCGAGTAGGTTTTATCATCCTACACTTGACTAAGCTGTGACAGTCTAACTGACCCCGATCGGCTAGTTTGACTTATTTATTTGACCTGAGAGTCATTGGCAAGGGTTTTGGTCGACCAAATTATTTTTTAAAAAATCGGGTCAATTGGATCCGTAAGTCGACGAAGTTATGTACTAGGGTACAAACTTGGTCCAACGTAAGCGCCAAGATATGTACCATACAAAATAATAAAGCAACATTACGAAGATACTGAAGACAGAAGAAAGGATGAGAATAAAAACAGAAGTGATCTATTAAACCAGCAATCTCAAAGATACTATCAACAAGCATTCCCTACTTTCTTTTCATTCTCAGTAATAGAAAGAAAATCAGAAAACTGTAGGCGTGGTAGCCACTAGTTTCGATTGGGAGCCCTGTCTGATGTCTCCTTAAGCCACTGAGTTACATAATCTTTCCGACCTCATCTATGCAGCTGCGAAGGTTCGTGTAGATGCTAATTATACCTAAACCTGCTGAACTGATTGTTGTCGGAATAAACACGAACATAGGTAACCGGTATGCTATTTACTAAAGATATTGAATTTATTGATTTGTCATGCTGGAGTGACTTATTGTTAACAAACACCAACTGAATGAACGTTTGAATACGAAATTCTTGACCAACTAGTCTATTTCCACGTACTGTAGTGAAGGAAACTCACTTGAGCAAAAATATGACCAAAGTATTCATGTATCTGTTAACTGCTTTGCAGATAACGAGTTGAAGATAGATGAACCTTCCCGATATATAAACAGTGAGTACCTAAGTACTGCTTTCGCCAGGGAAGTTGAATCCAACTTGTCAAAATTGACCTTTGTGGTGGAAAGCCTCCAGTACAGTAAATTAAAAAGATTTTTCTTTTTTTAAAACCAACACATTCTGACAGACCAAGATTATCAATCTGCCTATCCTTTGACCACTGAGATAACAGTTGCGCGAAATTCGACCAACGGAGCTAACGGTCTTGCTATAACGGAAGAGGGTAAAAGGAAAGAGTTAAATTCAGTTTGCTGCACGCTTGAAGGAAATAATTATCCCGAAGGTTTCGTAAAAAGAATTTTCCTGAAAACGAATTAAGAATGTGCCAAAACTCCTGAAGAATCGGATCAACACAGTTATAATTCTACATCGTTGGGAGACCTCGGAAGAAATAAGAATTCTCAAGACATATGACACAAGAGTCTATTTTTGTGCAACGAGTACTCTATGTTCTAACTTGATGAGAATTAAAGTGATAATACCGAAAGAAAATCAACAAAACTACGTTTATACAATAAAATGCACTCATTATGATACAGTATATGTGGGGGAGACAGCGAGGTAGTTAAATGTTAGGATGAGGGATTATAGACTGCAAAACAGATTCCAAAAATCTTAGCAGAGGTTAAGAAGTTAGAAAACACTCCATGGAAAAATGGGCCACAAAATTAACTGACGGAACCAAGGTTCTACAAAAAAATTTCGGGTCATACCAAGAAAAATTGACAGCCAACAAATGTGGACAAATCCTGATCGTTTGAAAAGAGGAGATGGTGTACAGTTAGCTGTCTCTTGGCAGTTACTAATTAGTAAGCAGAAAAAGTGCCTCTAGCATTCATCTTCAACACCATTCCCGAATTCATTATCTCTGCATCAATAGCAACGCGATCTAGATAGATTTGATTCATTAGTATTATCATCACCACCATCATTACTACCATTCATTCCCATTATATTCGGAAAAATCAGTAAATTCCCTTTATACCAACTGAAATGACATTTCATACAACTGTTTTCCTTCACAAATTTAAATAGAGTGAGAACAACAGCTTTCTCAGAATACATATCCACCTCATATGGCCTATTGTAATTCCATTTTAGTCCGTTTATTATAAATGTCACACAGTGAAACAGTACCACTTACTAGATGACGTTTCGGACACAATTTATTGTCCATGTTAATAAATAAACTAAAATTGGATTATAATCTACCACAATGCCCAGGTTTTACTCCTATATTAATGCCCTGTTGCACTTATAAAACTACCAAATGATAACAATTTCACCACTGACCTTTTTGTTTCGTGTTTATATATATATATATATATATATATATATATATATATATATATATATATACACCAAACAACGGGAGACATACAATTTCGTTCTGGTGGTTTATGGAGATTTATTAATTGATTTTAGGTTGGAATTCTTCATGGACTGACATCAGTTGGAGGGACGTTGCAAACCTGGGTGCAATGGATAACTATTTTGTCCAAGTTTGGGACTCCTCAGCAGTACACGCTCACGACCCCGCCGAGGATCATGAACCTGGAAGTCCTGTGTTCGATCCTTGGGGGGTGTCATGGGGCACACTACTGATGGGTCTCATACTAGGACGAAACAGCCGTCCAGTGCTCCCAGGTTTCCAATGTTCCTCTAACTTATATCAGTCCATGATGAATTCCAACCTAACATACAATTTCATACTGAAGGATGTCACCGTGTATTATAAGTAAATTTTTAAATACAAGTTTATACTCTTTGATGAGTTGTTATTTTGATAATATTTTAAGCAAAATTACTACCTGTGGTCACATCAACAGTTGGAATTTTTTAATATTTGTACAGTCATTTTAGCAAAACAATGAAGCTATGAAGAGGCTTGAACAAAGACACGTCTTTAGATTCATTTACATATCTTTGATATTTTAATTTTTGATTATTTCTGTGAAGAAGCACGGAACAGACTTCCGTGCGAAACTTTGGAATTGTTTTATTTCAAACACGCTGCGGTTTGCACACATATCAGTTATATCTAATAAACTGAGGTTGGTACTGTTAAACTAGGACAGTTAGTGCACTGTCATTCTGAAACGATATACTGGATGTACCTACATCCCAGTTAGTGATGCTGTTCCCGCTGAGACTCGAACCCAGAGCGCACCACTTGAAACACCAAAGCGTTATACATTAAACCAATGTGGTTTGAGAGCCATACATATTGTGTAACTGCTAATGAAGCCTACGAAAGCTGCATACCGCAAAGCAGTATGTTGAAGCTCCACTAATTACTATTTAGTGATTTTTGCTGAACTTGGTGTAGTTTAGAATAACAACCTCTTCTTTGTTCGCTTTACTGTTATATAGAATGGAATAGTCGGACAACTAGGAACTACTGGATTTCTTGATAATAATGGTGATGCTGATCGTTCACAAATGTCCAGCTTCAATCCTTTCTGAGAAGAAAAAGAACAGTGGAATTATATTGTTTTTGCAAGACTTCAAAAAGTTCTATTTTGTTTGCTATCGTGGCTATTACACTATCATTTTGTAGTTCAGCCACGTTATTGTTGTAGCCTTGAGCACGTAAGGGTGATTGGTTAAATTCCAACAGTTGCATTTTGCTTTTATCTTTCCATCGTATTTTTCCTCTTGGATAGTTTTCTTTTGAAATTATTTATTTTACTATCACTGCTATCAGTTTTCATCTATTATGCGTATATATCTTAATTTCTTGTTGGGTAATAGTGTTCAGATTATCTTCCAAATCAGTTATCTTGTCATTATGTTTTTCTTCGAAAAAGTCCCATCCCCGTAAATGAGATAGGACATAATTCCATTCTGTTAGTAATCTTTGTGAAACTTCCGTTTACTTCAAAGTTCCTTTAAACTATAACATAATTTCTCTTACATTCCAATATATATATATATATATATATATATATATATATATATATATATATATATATATATATATATATATATATATATATATATATCGATGAGTCAATGATTGAAAACTAGACTGAATCTCCGTGTCAACTTTGAGAGAAAAAGAGATTTTATTCATAATGAAGATTTCCAAATCATTCTCTGACTTTTCTCTTTAACCACTGAATAACTGTCTATCGTCTATGCATATTAAATTCACGCCATCTTGGGCGTATAATCACCAATTACAAAAAGGTGTATTTTCTTTATTTCTCTATTTATTATATTATTCTCTGACTATATCCGCTTTAGCGGTAGATGCAAATTTTATCATTTTTCGTTACATTTTGTTAAAGTTACACATCACAACAAGTAAGTAATTAAAATGTATTTATACCTTAAGTATACAAAATACCTATTGATCTCATTAACCTGTTTCCTCTGTATAGAAATAGATTTGTGATCATATCTAGTTGGTTGTCTACATGATACACATGATACGAATATACTTGTCATCTATATTGTATTATTTAGCTAGAATGAACTTTCATGTGTGTTTATATGTGTTAAGGTACTTTAGGCGTCTATATATGGCATTCACTGGCACTCATCGTCATTAGCATTGTTTATCTGGTTAGTTAGATGTCGAATTTATTGAACAGTATTCATTGTTTTTGCTATCATGTATGCATCAAGGTGTCATCTATCAGTATTCTCAGCATATCGTCTATATGCCTTATCTATTTCTGTCGCTTTACTTATTTTCACAACGGAACTGCAATAATATAGCAGTGTCATTCAATTCCATTCGGTTTTGGCTTATTTCCCCCCCACCCTTTGTTATTACCAGTGTGTAGTCGTCGTCGTCGTAGTAGTAGTACGAGAATGACCAGAGGACTGGATGAAATGATGAGTTTTTTTGGTGTGTATTTTCTTATTTTCTTGTGTGTATGTATTCATAATATCTCATATCTCTCTTTCCTTCATCCAAACTACTGTCTGAAAATAGACGAACTTCAGTTTCTTTACATTTTTTTCTTTTTTTTTGATTTCCATTAATAAGAAAAATATGTAACATTAGATTTTTTCTCATTTGTGTATCACCCATCTTATTGTATTGAGAAGCTAGCCAACGCATTGAATTGAATTATCATACTCCTCTCATGCACTGAACAAAAGAAGGATGTTACCACACATCCGTAGAAAGCTGTCATCAATACATTGAATATATATGATTGTAATAACTTATACGTTGTTTCTGTGAGACTACAAAAAAAAGACAAATATTTTCTCTGATTTCCGAACTGCCTAATGTTGCTCATTCTTGAAACATTACTGGGTTTAGTATCTGTTGGTAGAGAGTATTCCTCACGTAAGAAGTCGATGGCGTAAAGTTGAATACATGTGACTTCAACGGAGTAGGTTGACGCGTAGGTTTAACCACGGGGTAGTTTAAAACCTAACAGCCAACTTGAAATCGTTGCAAGATCACGGGAAATAAACCAATCGCACACTGTTTCTTAAATTACTGTGTAGTTTTATGCATTCAGCTTCCAGTTCGGTCGCTTGGAGATCGACTGTGTAGGAAGACTGCCTACCGTGGTTTGTAAGTCAGTAATGCTTCAGTCTTCGCGCCAATTATGATGCATGTGTTATTTCCTAGTCTGTTCACGCTATTACCATTTTCTATTTCATGACAATGGTTTACCTAGTAAACTCGTATCTCTAATTCATACAAGCAAACTCTCAACATCAAATTACTACCGCGAACAGCACGTTGTTAATTGGTTGCTTTGAAATGTGTTCTAATTTTGTTCTATTAAATTTGATTTCCGGCGTGCTGAATTTGACTCTGCTCTGTTAAGCAATACCTGATATAAGCTGGAACTACTAGAAAACTTGCAACCGTTATTGAATACAATATCTTCGTCCACTTCTTGTTAGTCGGTAACCATTAACAGGCCTATGGACTAGGCAATGAAGTAATTGCGTTCTCTTTGTGATAGTGTGTAATCTGGTTTCCCAAATTTTGGTCGGTTGAGCAAAAGTGAACCTGTTGCCTCACTGTCAGGACCTGAGAGTTTAGTTTCGTCAGCCACAGCTCTGCATTTATCTAGTTGTAATTTGTGATAGTTAGTTTGACAAAAAATTCGTAGTGATTGAATTCGTAGTATATATATATATATATATATATATATATATATATATATATATATATATATATATATATATATATATATACTATTCATTCTAGGTACATTGATGTTTTTAGAGTTATCAGGTCGCTATAAAATATTGATTAAACTAAACATAATGGTTAGATCGTTCAGCGTGACCTTATGTAGACAAAGTAATAAACGATTAAAAATAATTTCACTCAACTCCTAGATCTTATAAGTGTTATTATAGTACAATCGCTAGTTTTAAAATATGTAGTAATCACTAATCTGTAGCTCTCCTCTTATGAAGTGAATCAAACACCAAAATTCTGTGTCTCATTATTTATTGATTTGTTCATCGCGTGAAACTAACGTCATTGATCATACTTTCCGTAATCATATGGCTAAAACTGTATGATGGAAATCTGTAAGGCTGTATTAATATTTGAGTATCGTTTGGGAGCTGGAATAAATCCGTTAGTGCCTATTAACACCTGTAGCTGGTGGAAAGTCAATTCCTCTAACATGTTTTTCTCACTTATTTCTTAATTGACAACGTTTTTGCTGTCCTTATAACAGATCCAGTTGTCTCGTTTTTATATGGTGTAGTGAAATCAGTATACATAAATCACTTTGGTTCAGTTTTGAATAAGACCATCTTTTTGTAGCCAAAAACCAGTAAGCCGAACTTGGCATCAAGCTGTAGATGAAGTGAATTCACTGCATTTCTGAGAAGCAGCTAGTTTTGTAGTCTGCATTTTCCTGTTATTTCTAAACGAATTTTTAATTAGAAGACATCATCAAGTAATAAGCTTTTGGTTATAGCGCCTCAAAGGTGTCTTTGTAGCATTGCTCACATGTGATGAAATCAACTACTGAAAAGGCTTGCACGTGTGCTGTACAAATTGGGTCACTGTCTGCCTCAGCGTACCATGGTGACCACGTAGCGATTCAGTCCCAAACGTCTTCGAATTCATGACAATGCGATCGTCACCTTATGTAGTTTAGGGCGGGGGTAACTGTATTATTCAAATCAGTTGACGTCACTTACATAAGTTGGTGTAAAAATATTTTTCATCACGAGTTGTTATCAGTTACCGGGCTTACCTTGAAACCTTGCTGTCCTGAGTTCGATTCACAGCTAAACCACCACTTTTTACTTCTGAGCAGCCTTAAACTGAGACAGAACGGCTGTCCAGTGCTATTTGACATTCAGTGGTTCTTTAACTAATGTCAGTCAAAGAAGGATCCCACTTGAGAGTTCTGCGTTAGAATAACTAACCGGATTTACGGAAGTCAAATATTTACGAGTAAGTTTAGATGGTCAGTTATTTCACGATGATCCGCAACGAATATTCGGATCATATTTCTTTTCCATGCTTTATTGATATGAGGTAATTTCCCAATTTTATCTTGCTAGATGATGCATTTTGCTTGTGGGTAAGTGGCTGGATATAATTCATAATTAGATTTTCATATATGTTTGTCGAAGCATTAATAATAGCAATCGGCACACTCGAAGGTATTTTGTTTGCAAGTGCGAATTTAGTAAGTGAGTATATATTAGGGATACCCTTGGGGATAATTAATTTATAAAGCTTATTTGTTAGTTAACTGTAGCAAAAGTGGAATATGCTTAGTGTGTCGTTTAAAAGATGAAAATCTGAGCAAATATGTGTCTTCATTATACTCTCATAGGGCAGAGCGTTCAAGTGCCACAGAGTTACGGTGTAAAATATGTACACATTCAGTGTCTATAGAGTTATGTAAATAACAACAATATGTGCAGTTGTACTTACAGTGTCAACGTTTTTTAGCCTTTCCTTCCCGTAGTGAAGGCCAAACTTTCAAGGCCACAGTTGCTAGGGTGCCCTTTAAAGTCGCCCTATTGGAGGACACCATCAGAACAGAAGACTGTCCGTATGCGGGAAACACCGTATTGCAATCATATACCATCTAGTTAGCAGTATGACCCCACATTCGCACTCTTATCATAGCATAGCTATTTACACTATTATGGTAACTGTTTTTCATCTTGTCACTACCCAAGAAAGCTTTTGAGCATGATAGAACCACTAGGAAAAATCTCTCCAGCCGAAGGGGGTTTAGGCTGTAAGGAGGCTAAGGACGGCTATGCCAAGACTTGACACCAATCCAAGAAGCCTACAACTGTCAGCTTGAAACTGTTTGAGACCACAGGAACCAATGACTGGAAATTCTTTGTGATATGGTTGAAAATCGAGCATACAGTCCTTACTATCTTTGAATTCGTGAATACTATCACTAGACGTCTATCTATGTTTTGTTTTCTAGTACTCTTCTGTCTGTTTTGATGTCACTATTTTCCCATCCATTTCTTCTTTGCATGCT